TTATTGAAATCCAACTAACTCTGAAAAGCGTCTTGACCAGCCGATTTTGAACTTATCATGGCTCTTTTTGGTACATTCTGAATTATGGGGTCTCATGCAATGAACCAAATTCTAGTGTCAACACATGCCCCACAATTTTGGGATCAAAATGGTTTTATCGTAAAATTTTCCCTCGTACCATTTTAGGTACGCCTTTACTGGAGACTGAGAGAACTACTCTGGGCCCGTTGGTTCTGTTCCATCACTTCATGTTTTCTGTTATTCATAAGCTTCACGAGCATGCCATTCCTTTTGCTATCATCCCATATTCCAAGGCTTCATGGGTGCACTATTAGTTCACGGGCATCTGGACTAAACTCCCCTAATGAGCATAAATATCGGTCTGACTCCACTGGAAATCTTAAGCTTCAACCATGCTCCCTTCACCCCTATCCTTTCAAGCGCTTCTAGTTCTGTTGGATCCTCCATGGACCACTGCTTCATTATGAAAGTCCATTGTGGCCAGAAGAATTGTTGTGTTTAGGGCGATTGTGTCACCCATTTTAGTGCCTTGTCTAGCAACGGAATCAACCACCGTGGCTAGAAGAATTCTTGTGATATCACCTGAGTCTTCTCACCATCAGTATGAGGTTGTTCCAGTGTTTGCAAGGGCTCAAATGTGTGGACACCTTCCCCTTGTTTGCTCTGCCTATGCCAAGAAGCCTATGAAAAAAACCAGCGTGCTCTTGATAGGCCTATTACCTTTCCCTCTGATGCTACTTCCATCTTTTAGCCGATGTGATCTTTATCCATGTTTCTTCGGCTTTGTGGGGTCTAGACTCCCTTCAATCCAATGAAGCTTTCAGGGCTGATTAGTTGGTTCTAGGTGTAATTCTTCTGGTAACGAACCTCTGAGATCCGGGGTGCCCATGATTATGAAAAGCAATAAATTTTGAATCTTATTCATCACGCCTCCTAACTCTTCGTGAACCGTATCCTCAATTTCGGAACGACGATCCATTTCCACAACTGATTCCAAACACATAACCCTAATGAGATCTACCATTGCATCTTCTAGGCAATAAATACGAGCCATGGTTGTGGACGAAAAACCAATCTGCCCTCTCTCGATCTCTTGTTCCTCTAGTGCGAACTGTTTCTTTCATCTTTTAGATCCAAAATCACCATCACTTCTCATGGAGAACAGCAAGTGACCCACCGACGAGATCCCCGATGAGCCCGTGCTGCCACACCAGCGTCCCCGCCTCCAAGGGTAAGGATGAACGTGGTCTCATGGTTCCTAAATGGATTGGCTCAACTTTTCATATGTGCAGGGCCAACACAAATAGTGGCGTTCTTCCCCGTACGATCATTGGCCCTATCGGTTGCACGATGGTGGCTCCGATAAACTCATCCTAGAGTCCTCTGATTCTTATCGCGAGGACGACGCTCATCATCTTCTTCAGGAGAGAGATGAGGCTCGAGCCTTGTACTCCAATGTAGTTCGTGATCTTGGATGGATGGACTTCCATCTGAATGCGATGTAGGATGCCCTTACCATCTCAGAGAATAGGGCCAACACCGTCCAAACGAGGTTGGCCGAGGCTGAGGCTAGAATCATAGGTGAGATCTCTTATGGTGAACCTTATCTTCACAACCCTGATTTTACAAGCTTCTGGCTGCTCTTTCTCTAAATTTACCAACCTTGTCAGCGCAGTTCGAAAATCTCCAATTGGCCACAGACTATGCTGCACAATCAATCAACGCCAGGGGTGCCATTTGCCATGGTTCATCTGCATGATGTTCCAAATCGTGCTAGGGAGATCGCCGTTCATGGTATTCGTCATGGTGCTGCTATTGCTCTGGCCGTGGTGCAAGTCCGCTCTGAAGACGAGCTTCAACTTCTTCCCCATGGTTTTCCAGCAACCGATCGTCTTGAAGATCATAAGAACTTGGTTGAGGACTTCTCAAACGCTACTAATACCATAGCCTTCTCTTTTTCGACCAGAGACATTGTGAACAAAGTGTTTCTCGGCCCCTTAGGTCATAACAGGAAATCAATGAATAAACTTTCCATGTTTGAAACAATTTTTCCTTTCTGTTTTCTCATGCATGATAGATTCTTTTTTTATATTTTTTGCTCTAAAGGCGATGCATGCTGCATCGGCTATTGCCTTCTTAGGTCTAATTAGAGTTGTTAATTTTTGTTCTAAAGGCGACACTTTGCTAGTATCGGCTGTCAATCATGGTAATGATCTGAATTCGATAGTACGTGAGCAATAATCCTAATCACCAGGGTTAAAGTTCCATAATGAAAAATTGCTTTCAAAAATAGCCGACGACGATTCAAGTATTAAATCATCTACGAAAATCCAAAAATCACCGCTTGATCAAAGCTTCTTCAAAATATTGTGCATTTAAATCCAATTCTGACTCCTTGAAACAGAACGGCTACATTCTGATGAACTAATCCATAAGAGCAATGCTTAGCCATTCCATAACGACCAACTAGATGAGTCATCAAAATAAACTCTCAGAGCCGATTGCTTGGATCGGCTAGTTGACGTTCATCGTTGACCTTGATAACGTCTCTTTCCCAGATTCTACCAGAGAAGCACTTGTAATTTTCAAATTCCCAATACGCTAGATCAGTCAGTTGCCACACTTATAGAGGTGTCGGCTTGGACCATCTCAATGTTATCTCCCTGCCATTGGATAAGGCATTGGTGCATTGTCGAAGGGATGCAACAATTAGCGTGGATCCAGTCACGACCAAGGAGCAGACTGTATGTTCCTTTACCATCGATGACGAAGAAAGTAGTTGGTAGGGTCTTACTCTCAATCGTCGATTCGACGTTAACTGCCCCCCGGGTCTTAGATGCATTGCCACCGAAGTCTTTTAACATCATGTCAGTTTCAAGCAAATCTCTGGGGCCTTCTCCATGCTTGTGGAACGTGGTATAAGGCATCAAATTGACCGCAGCACCTCCATCGACTAACATCTTTGTCATCAGCTTCCCATCAACAAATCCTTTCATGTATAAAGCCTTCAAGTGCCGATGCTGAGATGGTTTGTCAAATACAGCTTGTTGGAACTGGGCTGAGCCACTGCTTCTCCCAATTCTTCTTCATCATATTCTTTCCATCGGATCTTTCATGTTTGTACTTGGAGGGAGCTCTAAATTCTGCAAGTAAGATGAAGACCATATCAATATTAGCCGATGGCTTACCCTTATCGGCTGTTTGCTTAACGTGCCATGTCCGAGGCCTGTTATACTTCTGAGCTTCTAATTCTCTATTCCTTAAGCGCTGAACTCTTCTTTTCTAGCTCCTTGTTAGACCTCTGGACATCATTGGCCCTCTTCCAAATATACTCTCTCTCTTCATCACGACCGGCCCAGTTCTGATCATACACACGTTTACCTAGCCGATCGAGAACTCTTTCATTTTTACGCGCTGATCCACGCCGTTAGATTGATAATTCAAACGTTCATGGATAGACCGGCGGTTGGCTTGAGATTGCATGAATTCTTAATATTGATTACTGCACTCTGGGCAGTTACGTCTTGTGGGTAATTTCAAACTTTCGTTCCAATAGTGTTTGAAGAAAGGGCAGTTCCAATGTAACTCAACTTGTTCTCTCTCATGCCTTTCTTCTTCGCACTGATGCTCATATTCTTCTTTTTCAAACTGGCGCTGGTAGTCCTCCTTTTGGCGTTGCCATTTGTTCAACAATATTCTGGAAGTCACACGAGAACGCATGGCACCAGCTCTAGATGTCTCACCTTGCTCATATCGGTTCTTTTACTGATCGCGCTGTTACTTAGCTTTCTTATACTCATTAGCCGATATTTGAACCTTGGGGTCAACCGACCCATCTTCTTGGGCCTTAGCCAACGTCAAGACATTCGCCTTCCTTTTAGCCAACTGAAACTCTACCATATGCACCCCTGGGAAAGGATATTTATCTATGTCCATTCCTGGTTTCTTGGCTCGCTAAAACTTGATCTTTCCTTGCTCAATGGGCTTCCGAATATGTAAGCAGAAGATTCTACACTCATTATAAATATCTACATCAACAAATAAATGCGGTACGAAGTTAAAATATATTTCATAGTGCATCGAATGAATGTTTGATGTTGCTAATATTATGTATTTTCTTATAAACTGGAGCAAAGTTAGAAAAGATTAATTTAGCACAGAGCTAAAACGACTGATATTTTAAATCAGATGAGTAGTACTTCTAGTGTTGTGGGCCATAAAAAGTCCTGAGGGGGTTTGCTATACATGAAACTGAGGCGCCTGCAGCTGCATTCTGCCCGTGCCTGTGGATTATTGGTCATGCGGTTTGCGAAGGCACGGCTGACTTCCATGTTCCATCAGATCCATGTTGACACACCAACAATTTTTATAGCACACTCCCGCTGACTTCCATATTCGGTGATCCCTTTCCCATTCCACCACCCCCTCAGCTCCTTCCATTGCTCACTCATCCTGCTGCCTACTCAGGTCAGTCTCCCCTCAATCTGCAATCCGATGCCTTGAAGTCTTGAACCAATGCTCAGAGTTTGTGATTTTCTTGGCCTCCACACATTGATTGCAGTTTTGAGGATTGCGAGCTCGATTAGATCAGCTGCATGCTTTACTGCATTTGTATGACATGAACAAATCTTCTTAATTCCTGCGTTATTTTTTTTCCTATTAAAAGCTGAGAGAAGCTTGCGTTGCGTGTGATTTTGGTGTAAGCTCTTAGAATGTTCGATTAGTTTCTCTGAACATTAGAATGTTTAATTTCGTTGATAATTAAAAGAGAATTCGCTGCAGCTGATTGGAAACCTTAATAGTTTTCTGCTTCAGTCCTGACAATTTGCTTATGTTGGTGAATGGTGGCTAATAGCAAACACGAAACTGATATAATTCAGTTATTCAGATTTACACATAAAGTTCACTGTCTAAGCTTCACTATTATTCTTGCATGAAACCAGGAACTTGGATCAGATGTCCATAGAAGACCTGTTGACATGGCGTTGTTCAGACAAGTCATTTTGACCACGATCATTCTTGCCATATTGCTCTCCCTCTCCTCACCAGCGATTGCTCATAAGACCAGGAGTCGTGCTGCTCCAGTGTACTACCATGTTGACCTCGCTGATCTCCTGGACGTGGCTGGTCCATTCCAGACCTTCCTGGGCTACCTGCAAAAGACCAGCGTCATCCAAACCTTCCAGGACCAGGCGGACAACACCAAAGTTGGCATCACCATGTTTGTCCCCAGGGACTCGGCCTTCGCCGAACTGAAGAAGACCAGGCTCACCAAGGGCCACATCAAGTCACTGCTCCTGTACCACGCACTCCCCAAGTTCTACACAGCCTGAATGGGCTCAGCGAACTGGGTAGGCGCAAGCACAACCCGGTGGCCACCTTTGCCGGCTTGCAGTACACGCTCAACTTCACTGAACACTGCTTGGGCAGCATCCGAGTGAAATCAATGGGGTCCAACGCGAAGATCATAAGCGCCATGTACTCGAGAGCCCCGGTGTCCGTGTACGAGGTTGACAAGGTTCTCCTGCCATGGCACAAGTGAAGACTGAAAGAATTCACCGATCGCTCCGAGTGGGTTTTAGATTTGAAAGCAAAGAATCCAAGAAACAATTTCAGTAAATGTGCCCCTCATCTCCCAGATATGCTTGTGCGTTCCTCACTTGCTATCCTCCCATGCATGCAGCCATTGGCGGACCCAAGAAATTTGCGAGCCTGGGCGACATTACTGGGCTGTGCGGCTCGCTGCTTTCCTGCCCCTGGGATTGACGGCAACAGCATGGGAGAAGTAATAGGCCTTAAGGGTTCAGTAGGAGACGAGCTCAGGCAGAGGCCCAGGGTCGCCGGGCCCTAGGTCCGCCTATGCATGCTGCCTGGGCAAAAGCACGGTTTTTTTGGCTCGGCCCAAGGACGGCACGACCCGGTCATCAACGTGCCCCTGCTAGCCTAGCCCAGTACGTAGGGCCGTGCTTGTGCCGTCACCAAAGCACGGTGGGCGGCCCGACCTAGCCAGGTATTTAAAGGAAGGCTCGATGGAGGCCCACTCCCATTTATTAACCCCTCCCACAGAATCGACTAACCCTAACTTATTTTCCCTATCATCTAGCAATCCGCCGCACGGATGCCCCATCCCTCCCCTCATGACTCGCCACCACTCCCATCCCAAAGGCCGAAGATCCAGAGTGAAGCTGCCCGATGGCCCGCACCCGGGGCGTCGTGACCCTCAGGCCTAGGCCCCGAGCGCCGCCTCTCCCATCCCCAGTCCGGGTCCCCCAAGCGTTGTTGCTCCCGTCCCTAGTCCCGGCCCCCCGAGCGCCATCGCCCGCCGCTCTCATCTCGTCCCGGCCCCCGAGCGGATCTGGCCTCGAGGCCCTCGACCTTGCCAATCGAGTGCACAGTCGTCGCCTGCCGCGGGCCCATGGATCCGGTGTCAAGCGACTTGGGGCAAGCATGTCGGCGACTTCCGACACCTCTTGTGGCCGCGTCCCCTTTTCCCCTATCTAGCTCTCTGCTGCCATTTGGTGGGCCACGGGCTAGCCCAACACGCTAGATGCGACAGGCTTATTGGGCCAGCCCGACCCGACAATCGGCACGACAGATGGCCAGGCACAAAGCCCTATTCGGCACGCCCCAGGCGGTCCGATGCCAACAGGCTGTGCATGGCACCACGGGCCGTGCCGGGCAGCCCAAATGCTCATATATACCTCCCAGGCACCCACTCCCCTGTGGTTCCCCCTTCCCGCTCAATTTTTGAGTTTTATTTATAGAAAGCTCATAACTATACAAAACTATTGGAGAAAGGCAAAGATAGAACTTCATGTTTATTATTTTACTAGCAATTATGCCCATGCATTGCAACGGAGCATACAACTTGTTATTCATTCACCTAATGACTTATGACTCAGGTATTTTTTTTCAATGATAGTGTTAATTAATCCAATACATTTCTTAATTATCTCTGATTTATCACATACTACTACTTTTACTAAAACCAATGAGTCTTATGTTCAGGGGAGTAGAGAGACAGATGGGTGGGAGGCTCCTGCAATTTTTTTTTGGATGAAAGAGCGTACCTTTTGCATTTAATAGTACAGGCTAAAAGACCATGTATTTTAAAAAATGGGCTATTCACGTAATTGTGTTTAGGGAAGAGTTTTAACTAAATGCATCAACTTACAGGTTGGGTATCGAGTAAATTGGTTGTCCGTTCTTGTGGGCCAAACTGCTGAGGGAAGAACAAAACATTAATTAATAATATCTCAATATAAGAAAATGAAGCAACAGTAGTGGAACAGCTTCTAGTGGGACCCAGCTGTAAAAAAAAAAATCTACCGCACTACCTTATCCATACCTCTCACGAACGCCATCCACGGCCTCCTACTCCACTTCCGCCCAGCAGCGGCCTCCTGCCTCGCCCCGCCATTGCCCTGTCGCTTGGCTGATAAGCCATGGCTGAAAGTACTGCTGGCTGATTTGTTGTGAGAGAAAAATATTGTTCGTTGGTTGAAAAAGTACGGCTTATAAGCCAAGCGAACAGGGCATGCCTCAGCCGCCCACATCAAAGCGCACGCGTGGCAGCTGTAGCGCTGGTCCTGACTTAGGTACAACGAGGCGTGGCTGAGTTCGGCTCGACCCTCGTCCGAAGCTCCGCCCCCGCTCCCCCTGCTCCATCCGGCGCTCCTCCCCACGACTTCCCCAATCCAGAGCTCTGCTGGTTTCCCTTCCTCTTCGGTGCTCCTCCCTTGGTTCGTCATGCCGGAATCCACACGGTGGAGCCATGGAGATGCGGGTGCCGCTAGCACGTGGAGGCACGGCAAGGGCGGCGGAGGGGCGCATGAAGCGTGAAGATTTCACGATTTGGGTCATATGGTGTTTGAACTCGATCTGCATATGATGATGCGAGCTGAGGAAAGATTCGACAATTTGGGTCATTGGCCGTCCGATTTAACTCGACCTGGTTCGATCTATTGCTTGGTTGTATTCTATTTGTGGTTGATCTGGTGTGGGTGTGCTTGGCTGGAAGTTGTATTTGATTTGTGGTTGATCTCGGGTAGTATGTTATGGGTGTGTTTGGTTTGTTGGCTAATTCCTAGCCTGGCTAATAATGGAGCCAGGGTGAGTTTGGCCTGGTTCCATCAGTTAACATGGGCTTGTTTGGTTTGGCTGCTATTGGTGGCATGGTTTAGCTTAGATTTTGTTTGTCTGGGTGCATGAGCTCCTGGATGTACTAGTGTAACCAAGGAAGAGTGTGTTTGGTTTGTTGGACATAGCAGGCTGCATTCACCCTTTTCCTGAATCGGTATCGTTACCTCACCCACCTGTTCTCCTAATCTAGCAGTTGTATTTGATTTGTTTCTGAATTTGGTGTGAGTGTGTTGTGATTTCCTAATCTGGAAGTTGTATTTGACTTGTGGTTGAATTTGGCGTGGGTGTGTTGTTTCCTAATCTAGAAGTTGTATTTGATTTGTAGTTGAATTTAGCGTGGGTGTGTTGTGATTTCCTATATTATGATGATTGCATAGTGTTAGAAATATTGAAAATTGAATTTTCAAGCTTATAAGATCATATGTGATATAAATGCTACTCTATAAACAAATACAATTAGATTGAAGTTTTATGTTAAAAGTCAAAGAAGACGAGATGATAAAGATGAATTTGTCTAATTCCAGAAGAAATGAGCATTGAAATACTAGAAGTATCCAATATCATTCAAAATTACTCAATATCAAGTAGGAATTGAGTCAGAATTTTTAGATAGCTCTATAAATCAGGATATGTGACTTGCATATATTATACTCCTAAAAGGATCGAGCAAGCATGAAGCTGCTAAATGTTAAGCATTGAAGCTAAGACATGTAAGAATAGATAGAAAATAGAACATTTAAAGTTTCTCTTGAAGAACTTAAATCATGTACTTATAGATTTGTTGCTTTTAAAATTCATATCCTGAAGTATTTATAATAGTGGCGGTGGTGCTTTAAGTTTTAATTCCCGTTGAATTAGGTGGATTATGTAAACTCGTAGAAGAGTTAATGGTTACTTTATTAGCTTGAAGATTAATATGAAGTTCTTAGTTGCAATTTTTACTTGCAATAATATATGTTAATTTTGCATGAAATGAATTAGATTTATATGTTGTACATATAAACAATTGTCTATTGCCTATCTAAACAAATTTTGCATTAATTTTATCCACAAAGAAGCCTCAATTAACCATAAAGGTTATAGTTCTTTGTTCACTACTACCATGCATGTTGGTAGAAAGGAAACTAAATTTCTTAGAAGCACATGAATAATTGGACTATACTGACATATGAACTAATCTTAGAAGGATATATTTAGCCAAGAAATTGTATAATCCTAAAACTAAGTATCTAATACTTTAGCCCAGAAATTAGAAGTTTATGTCCTACCCTGAATCCGTTATTGTACACTGAATAGTATACTAGACACGTGAATTTCATGCCACAATCATTGAATACTAGAAGTATGATTGAATTCTATAAAACATTTGAAATGATTATTCATATATGAATGAAGCTTATTACTACTTGAAGTAATTATGGCATGAAAAGGGGAGAAATTTTAGGTAAAGGCATAAGAAAATATGGGTAATATATATTTAATAGGCATAACATTTCTAAATCTATCTTTAAGTGCATGTGTCAGGACTTGAAGTTCTAGCCGCGTCCCTTCCGGCCAAGTTAATTTTCTCTACATTGCATCAATTGCAAGTAAGCTTGTAGCTTTGCATTTTGTTGTTATCTATTACGTTGGATTGAATATCAATATTCTACGTTACACATGAATGTGTATCACTATGTTGTGCTCTCGTTGAGTTTTAACTATCTCCACTCCTATATAATATTAGCATAGAAGCTATATTCGTAGCTTGTAGCTACTATATTTTCCCTCATAATTAAATTGGCTAGCTAGCACACTAGTAGTTCTCATTGAATTAAGAAATATTTTGCTTTCAATGCGTTGCATGCATAAGCATTATATTGGCCTATGACCAAGTAGCCTAAGATCAGGGGGAGTTGGTTAATATGAAATTAGCTAAATGGAGAAGTGACCTAATTGATGGGATGAATGATTGTGGAATTAAGATGGTGGATAACATATTTAGATGATTTAGGATTTTTGAAGAAAAGACATTTGAGAAATTTTGTATTAATGGCAATTAGAAATTTCTAAAAGATATTCCATGTGATTTTGAATATGCTTATTTTATACTTTTGAAGTGTATGGTTCATTATTTTTTAATGTATGAGTATTTGATCAATTTTTTTACTAAACAATAAAGAAGCTAGACAATGAAATAGTTTTCTAAACT